ACCTTTTTTTGTTACTTTTTTCACCCTCGCAAAAGGTGAAACACATCCCAATCTGCTTCAGTTACCAAGGTGAATGACACCACCTCACTGCCAAGACTGCATCAGACCATACAGTGCACCTAGATCCTCGATCCTCTATCTCAGGACCTCAGTCAAGGCTGAAATGCGGAGAAATTAGACTCCCCTATGTAACTGGACAAGTTCACTCTTATTTCAGGGTATGTAAATATTAAAGAAAAGTCTAAATTGTTAAGTTGCACTGTAGGTTTACGAATTTTGATAGACTAATAGCAAAAAGTTAACTAGCAACACATAAAGTAACAGCATGAAAGGGGCGATGAAAAATGGCTCCTCTGAATTCAGACTGACAAGGTCATAAGAGCGAATTTACCTTCACAGTTTTAATAATGCCATCCACATAGCAGGGTCCAGTGCTGACATTGAAATAGCCTTCATCGTTCCCTTGGACTATCTCGAACTTGGGGAGCCAACTAGGAGTCATTGGCTGATCGTTGTCGTAGACAAACATTCGCACCACTTCCACATCCTTTCTATGCTCAGGAACAGACACCGAGTACTATCACAAGAGAAACAGTGCATTACCGCGGTGCACTGATCATGCTGCCAAAAGGTATTCAGAACCAGGGCGTGCTTCTGTATGATACTATTCTACACAAAACTTGAATATTTAACCAATAATTATTAATGATACTGGACTTACAGAGGACCAAGGAAACTGAGGAGCGTTGTCATTGCTGCCCGTTACAGTGATTATGGCTGTACAGGTAACTATGTAACCATCTCCCATCATATCAGCAACTTCAACCGTCAGTGTATACTGAGGGTATTTCTGGAAAGAAAAGTTCAGGTCACACATTTGTTCAGACAGAGCCGTTATTGGTCAGAGGAAGAAAAGCCCACCTACCTTCTTATCAAGCTGAGCTTCATTCAGTCGGATCTGCCCAGTAGTAGGATTAATAGCAAACATGTCTGGAACTGGTGCCAGTGGATCTTGACTTATAATGCTGTATCTTAAGGCTGCATTACTTGTCTCGGGATCATCAGCATCTGTTGCTGTGACACTCAGGATCTCATAATCTAGATATTTTAGGGGAAAGCACATGCAAAGAGATCAAGCTAATGCAAGGTCTGTATCAAAGCAGACCTTTAGCAGCAATGTGAAGCGTGTCAGCACACTGTACCTGCACCCACGGCTTCTGGAAC